AGGACAGTTTATCGTAATGTTCAGACCGAATAATCTGATTGGTTGAACATTTTATGGTTCTACGCCTTCAACAGACGATATGAATACATTTAGACCACTCAATTTATTGATTGCTATCGGGATGTGAAAAGTAAGATGACATTTTAGTGTCACGTAAAAAAAAAATAAATAAATAAAAAAAAAACTAAGATTACGATATTAAAGTCGTAATATTTTGAGAAAAAAGTCTAAATTACGAGAATAAAGTTGTAGCAATATGAGAATAAAGTCTAAATATTTTGAGAATAAGGTAAAAATTACGAGAATTAGGTTGTAGCTATTACGAGATTACAGCTATAATATTTTGAGAGCATAGCCTATATTGCATGCAAATGGCCTGGATTGGGAGCACCGGTAGAAATTCCAAAGTCTCAGCTTTCAAATTCTGTAATTTTTATAGCGAAATACAAACAATATGTCTTACAATGTGTTTTTCACTCTCTTTAATATGGCGTGACAGATCGTTGTATTTGCCTCAGTTTAAGCAGCATGTGAATCAATCATCTTTTCGATTACACTGAGATATATTCCAAGCTGTCCCTGCGAGTATTTGACACATGGTATGATTTCTACTAATAATCCCTCATATATTCAAATCAGTTGACAGGCCACCGGAATTTCTCTTGGTGCTCCCAATCCAGGCCATATGCATATGCAATAGGCAATACTTTCAAAATTATAACTGTAATCTCGTAATTGCTACGACTTGATTGTCGTCATTTTGACTATTTTCAAAATATTTAGATTTTATTCTCATAATTTAGATTTTTTTCTTGAAATATTACGACTATAATTTCAGATTTATTTTTTTTTAAGTGGCACTAATATTTTTGAACCAAATCACCTACCCTGCCTTTAAAATAAAGTGTGACCGTGATTTCATCTGTGCTTCAGTCTGGTTAAGCACGGCAGCGTATGAACAACCAGAAGTGAAATTTGCATACTTGATGTGGATGGTTTCAAGTATAGTAGCTAAAATACCCGTTAACAGAAATGCCCTTTTATCAGGACTTTTACATCATTCCATCAAAGACATTAAAATGTTTTTTAGGCTGTCACATGTCTAACTTTCCAACTTCTTTAAATAAGCAAAATAGATGCTGCTGCTGTAGGTTTTATATCACCCATTGTGGGTGATAAACTGTTCAGTGCTCAGTCATCCATAAACCAAAGCAGCTCACTACAGCAGAGATGAAGAGGACTCTCACTGGACTTTTCCTGTTTGTCCTTCATGCACTAACAACAGGTCAGACTGGAGTTAAAGTGTACATTCATGTTACTGCTCCAATGAATTGCACTTTTAATCAGAATCATTGCAAAGTGTATACAAGCCTGTCTGTAGTCTCTAGCAATGGAGGATCTTCAGATGCTTGAAGAGGCAGCTGGAGGAACATACGGTCATAGTTGGATCTACAGCCAGGAACACTCATGCAAGTTATTGAAGTCTGTGGACATCACTACTTCAGCTGTGGAATACTATTTAACAATCCTTCACATTGTACAATCACCTATAATGGCGTTTGGAATTCAATAACATGTTCCAATTCAATAACAATTACACCAGGGAGGGGGGGTGGGGGCCCTGGAGGCTGGTGCAGGACTGGGACACGGGGAATACCTCCAGGGCAGATCAGGCAGTCCAGGGTGCTATGGCAGCACAGGAGCCATGGCAGAGCAGGGAGCTCTGGAAGCCATGGCAGTGCAGGCAGTTCAGGGCACCATGGAGGATCAGGCAGACTAGGAAGCCATGGCGGAGCAGGCAGAGTAGGAGGCCATGACGAAGCAGGGGGCGCCCTGGAGGCTGGTGCAGGACTGGGACACGGGGAATACCTCCAGGGCAGATCAGGCAGTCCAGGGTGCTATGGCAGCACAGGGAGCTCAGGGGCCATGGCAGAGCAGGGAGCTCTGGAAGCCATGGCAGTGCAGGCAGTTCAGGGCACCATGGAGGATCAGGCAGACTAGGAAGCCATGGCGGAGCAGGCAGAGTAGGAGGCCATGACGAAGCAGACAGTTCAGGAAAAAAGATCCTTGGGGAGAATATCGTCTTTAGAGGCCCTCCGTAGGCCTAGCTTGGGAACTGTGGCCCTCCCTGAGCTTGACTTGGGGACTGGAGCCCTCCTTGGCCTGGACATGGGAACTGGAGCCCTCTCTGGTCTAGACTCGGGGACTGGAACACTCTCTGGGCTAAACTCGGGGACTGGAGCCCTCTCTGGGCTAAACTCGGGAACAGGGGCCCTCTCTGGGCTAAACTCGGGAACAGGGGCCCTCCTTGGTCTAAACTCGGGAACAGGGGCCCTCCTTGGTCTAAACTCAGGGGCTGGAGCCCACACTGGAGCGAGCTCTGTGGTTAGGATGAAGGCGGAGAACAGTTGTCTTCTCCTCATCCTCCTCCTTTGGTAAAGGGAGAATGGCGCGGCCGGCGGGCTTGACTTCGGAACGGCCAGCGGGCTGGAGAGAGCCGCAGCCGGCGGGCTTGGGAATGCCGCAGCCGGCATGCTTGACATCGGCGCGGCTGGCGGCGGGGTTCCGGATCGAGATTGGATACTCTCCAGACACCGGATGACTGCCTCCTTTCAATCGAGGTTAGTGGGGTCTGGGAATTC